CCCCTTGTTGCATGCAATGAAATTTTTCACTGCCAAATTTTGCAGTTACCTTCTGCGATTTCTGTTCGCCTGGTACTTCAGCTGAAATTTTTATAAAAATCTTGCAGCGACCGAAGCAAAATTTGAGAAAAATATTTTTTTCTTTTGTAATTTTAACAGCAGACCCTGCCTAGCATATGTATATGAACAATTTGTTTCCCCCATTAGAAATCAAACCAATTTTTAAGTTTTATAAATATTTGTTGTTTATTGCCAAAGTTTATGTGTTTTTGCTTTAATTTTAAATAAATTACAATTTTACAAGAATATATTTTCTACATTTTTTTTATATTTTTTATATATTTTATATTTGTTTTATATTGCTATTTTTAAATAAAAAGGCGCGTGATTAGATCATGAAATCTTAGTTTTTATAGTTAAGTTATGCGATCGCCATTTATAGAGCTGGATTCGTAATATATTCTAATTGTTCTATGTAGATATATATTGTTGTATAGTTATAGTAAAGAACATTCGCTAGTCAGAACAACTTAAATTAAACATGCACATTTTATAGACATAGAACTATCAATTTGTAGCTTGATCTGGTTAGCATAAATTCTAGATAGTAAATTTACTGCTTCTTGATTACAGTCTCAATATTATTAAACATTCCGAAATGTTCAATAAATGTGCTTGGATATGTTAAGATTAATTAGAACGTTATGCACTGTGGCAATGAAATGGTATTTATAGCTAAAAGTAAGGATTGAGTTATCTTAAAAAATATAGTCAAGGTTTGTTTAAGTCTTAAGAGCTGTGGCAGTATCATACGAGAGTAGGCTGAATTGATGGTCCTTTGCGTATTTAATGTTAAGATTGCATCATTTTCAGACTAACCTCATTAAAATATCAAGGATTCGGATCTTGGGGAAGCCTTTAGCCTTTAGCTCCCTCAAAATCGAAACCCTTGCGCTCTACAAAATTGCTTTAACTAGATGAATTCGTAACTTAAGTTAGCTAATTGAGACGAGTGGTTTGTTCATTAGGCTCTTCTTGAGCTTGGATAAAGCGCTGCTTGCTTCCCTTTCGCCCGGTTTTTTATCCTTGTTCTTGGGTCCAAGCGGTATCATATTGGTGTCGATCAAACGCCTGCGGAAGTTCTTGTAGAACTGCAAGACCTGTGGATTGGCCCACACCTGCTTGGCATCAAAGTCAAGAATTCGCACAGATTGCAACGATTTAGCTCTGGATAGCGCTACATAAGCCTGGCCAGCCTCGAAGACCTTGGACAGCGACATCTCCACACAGTCAAGCGTCAATCCTTGACTTTTGTGTATGGAGAAGGCCCAAGCGAGTTTTAGCGGTATTTGGCGACGTGTCACCAGTCCACCTGTAGCTGTCTTAATGATCCACTTCTCCTGCCGACATACATACTCCTGATTGTTCTTGAAGCGCACCACGGGCAACCCCTTCTCAATGCGCACAACGACGCCGCGAGCGCCGTTGACCAAACCATTGGCTATGTTTATATTCTTGAGCAGCATTACCTGAGCGTTGACTTTCAGATAGAGCTGAGCCGGCGCCTGCACCTGCTGATCCAGTTGCTTGCTCATATATGCATCCGAATCCTCTGCACGGAATAGCACTTTCTCCCCGCTCAAGTTCTCCAGCTTCGATTCATTAATGGAGTTCGCATCGTTCGTGTGCGAGCAGAGTTGTGTGGCCAAAATCCCATTGCCTTCGATGTTCTGTTTGGACGTGGACACCAATCTCGCCGAGATGCTCTCATTCACATGTCCGATGCGCAGATGATTGAGTATTTGCACAAACTCCGGATCCGATTGACGATGCACTTGCTTCAGCTCGAAGACGCATTGAATACAGCTCTCCCAGGCGCTCGACTGGAAGCAGAAGCGTTGCACACCTGTCTCGCCCTTGATTACAGGTGGCAGCTGCAGGAAGTCTCCGCAAAGTATGAGCTGAATGCCACCAAAGGGTCGCTCGTTGCGGCGCACATGACGAGCAACAGCCTCGATTTTCTGCAAGAATTAATTATTATTAGCATTAGTATATAAACACGAGTGTATAAAAATGAAAAAATATATATGTATGTGTGTATGTACAAAAAAATAAATCAAAGAAACTCCCTCTTACTTCTTACTCTTTATAATGAACATTTCGTTTGCCCATAGGAGTCCTATGTTAGGACACGCTCAACATTCCACACACACATGTGCATATTTGCGAGAGCAATAGAAAGTAGACAAAAAAAAAAGTGTAGCTGCTATCTCGCTCGATCGCGATATATCTGAAAGAGCAATTGAGAGTAGGCAAAAATATTGAGCGGAGCTGCCATCTCGCTCGATCACGCAGGTAGCAAATCCCGTTGCTCGTTGAGAGGCATGAGAGAACAATGCCATTACGGATTTAAATTGCAAAAAATGTGTCCTGCATGTATAATTTTATACATACATACATATATCTAAAATAGCTCACCTCGAAATACTGTCCATCCACCATGGAGATCTCGTCTATGATCAGTCGCTTGCATTTGCGCCAGGTTTGCGCTGCAGCAGGCCTTGACGCCAACTCCATGCAGCGTTGCAAGGTGGCATCGCCGCCAGCTATGCCGGCAAAGGCGTGCAGCGTGGTGCCACCTATGAGGCAAGCGGCCACGCCTGTCGAGGCTGTGGCCACGGTGCCGTCTGGCGGGAGCGCCGAGATGATCTTGCGCAGCAAAAAACTTTTTCCCGTGCCCGCAGAGCCGGTGAAGAAGACGTTCTTGCCCGAGGTGCAAGCGCGCAGCACTTCCATTTGCTCGGCGCTGAGACGTAGCGAATCCTCCGACTCCGTGTTGTTGGCCAGAGGTGAGGGCTGATACAGTTTCTTGGCAGCTGGCACACCACTCTTGTCCTCCTTCAGATCGTCGTAGCGTCGCTTTTTGGTGGCCTGGGGCGAGGGCGTCGTCGTGCTGCCACGCGTTATGAGTCCAGCCTTTTTGCGTGCCAAAACCATTTCAGCTGTGGTCACCGGGGAGATCTCCTCAAAGGTGCTGGGCCGTGAGCTCAGCATATGCTCGCGCAGCTTCTTTTGCATGGCTGCCTCGTCCTGTGGCGTCGTGTCGCCGTTCATTTTGATGAAAATCGTGCGCAGAAAGAGCATCAAGGTGCCGGGAGGCGCATTCGACAGATAAATAGCACACTTCTCCGCCTTGAAGTTGAACGTCGCCTTGCCCTCGGCCATGAATTTCTTGTGCACCATTATGTCCTTTAGCTTAAACTTGAGCGGCTTCAGCTTTTCGGGCGTCACTTCAACAAACATTTCGCGCAAATCGTTGCGCACCAAACGCAACGTTGCTGTGCGGTAGGCTAGCTTACGGCCTGTAACGCCAACCGCATTTGTCCAGTGTATGTTCACCGCGCATGTTAACACGGCATCGTTAAGATCCATTACTTATTCCTTTTAAAATATTTTATTTAAACGAAATTTTTACAAATCCCAGCGCAAAGTAAAAGAGTGTGCACACCTCCCGCCAAAAAGAACTAATTACCGATTATGCGATCGATGTTCATGCTATGCCACGCTGTGTTATCGATAGAATCGCTACATTGTTCGTATTTTAGCACTAGATGGCGCTAGCAGTAGCCCGCTCTGCTTATTTTGAAAGTATTTTATTAAGCAAACATAGCTTTGCATTCGCATTTCAGAATTTTGAATGCATTTGATATATTTAATGCATTATATGATCGGTTGGTTTTTAATCCATGCTTTTTCACCACGACTTTTTTTAGCTTGTTTCTCTTTGGTTTTCGTTCGTAACAATGAAAATTTCGCTACACACATTTCATCTTTATATATACATATCTTATCTTCTTACAAATGAGCCAATTGAAAGAGAAAATCGAATTCATGTCAAACACAAATATTTCTTAATACTACGACGTAATAAAAAATAATGCATTTATCATTTAGGCACAGTTAACATTCAGTTAAGCATCTTATGTAAAGTGGTGAAGTGCTGCTGCCTGGTTTACACTCGCGCAAACAATATGCGATAAGATGCCTGAGCGGCGATTACTTGTTGCACAATTGAAACACAAATGCTAATGTGTTTAATGTAAGATCTGCTAGCTGATTAATTAAGGTATAGGTCTAGTGTCAGAAATATTGAATAAACGTAAGTGAAATGCGAATGAGGCAATAGGACGTATTGCTTGTGTGAATAACAGCATCGCATCAGATGCAGGAAAATACATTGTACATACATTTCATACAATATGTTGGAATATCCAGTCCAACAAATGTGAAAGTTTTCAACATATAATACATCAGTACATTATATAATTTTAGTTTAAACAGGAACAATAATTCTTTTCATTAAACTTTCATTAAGTGTAGCTCTAAACGAATATTGAAAAGAACGTAAAGCAAGCTTAAACAATAAAGAATAAAAAGAATTACTATTATTAATATATGTATATATATATGTATATATTTTTTTTTTGTCAGAGATCGTCATCGATTCTAGGAAGGCAATAAAACAGTTCATGCAATAAGTTCATGAAACTCGCCTGAAAAAAAATTCTTTAAAAGTATAAGAAAAAGAGAGGATACGAGAAAAAAGAGAAAGAGTAAAAGTTCATTGATCGTTTCGAAGGTTACAACATCGAGATGCGTAAATTTCCATAGTTTCTTTAGCATTTTACTTTTGCTTTTGTCTTTGCAAATTTTCGAATGCATTATTGATTTATGCAAAGATGAAACTGCGATGGAAAAATAAAGAATATAGTTTTATCTAATTTGCTTATGTTCGTTTATATGTACAAATGTATGTATGTATGTATGTATGTATGTATGATGCCAACGTGCGAAGTTTGTGTGCCTTACATCTAGCTGAATTTGAATATTTTTCAAATTAATATAAAGATTAATATTTAAGATTCCGATTCTTCTATAGTGTGAAATTTAGAGAATTTTAAAATTCAAATATAAAGCTTATACATACATTCACTTACATATATGCACTTACGAAGTGTGTTAAAAAGTATCGCAAAAAAAAAAGTAAATATGGCAAATCGGGAAACTATATCACAGTCTTATTTACATATCTTCTTTTGTTCATTTAAAAGTCTAAATATGGACTATATATACTTTATATACTATAAAAAATCGATATTGAATTTTGACTGTAGACGATCATTAAAAAGCGGCTTTTGCTCGACCCCAAAGTTTGAACTTGTCATTTCGATGCACTTCAAATTATTTTATAACAATTCTCTAGAAAAAACATATACATATGTACATCAGTTTTGAATTATCTCAACTTTTGGCTATTGAACTGCATCTGAAATTTTGAGCTCGTCATTGCGCAGATTGTTTTCAATTAAATTGGCGCAATTTGAAAAGGAGAGAAAAAAACGTGCCATGCAGTCTGAGTGCGGTGTTAAGCCTCGATTAGATCGTTTCACTTGGCGCCGAAATTCGCAAGCTTCGCTGATAACCAGAACTGATTTATAGGCCTATTCAAATGTGTCTTTTTGTCGGGACTCTTGTTTACGATATTTTTCCAATTTGGTTTTATTTCTGCCTTTGTTTTTCTTACTTCGCATCAACAAAGTCAACTGATTCGGTTTGTTGTTTTCAAAATTAAATACACGTTCAAAATATAAGCAAATGTGCAGATGTTTTTCTTGTATATGTGTGTATATCGTATGAATATGCATATATGTTTGTATATACATATGTATGTATGTAAGCGTATATATTTTTCTGGGTCATCGACGTTGGTAGAGAGCAGAGAAACATCAGTTTTCGTATACCCTATAATTGAAGCATAGTTGAAACCTTATTTATGAGCTAATCCATATATTTTTAATTTACTTTTTCAATTCCTCTAATTTCAAAATTCTACATTTCTTTTCGTGACACATATTGCAAATTATAAATTAAAAAATATTAACAAGTCATTTACTTTATAAATATTATCTGACAATAGTCTAATATAGATTCATATTCATATTTTTTGTTTACAATCCTTATCAGAGTTTCGGCTGAAAAAATACCATCATGACAAATGTGACTGGAATGAACAGACCAGCAACACAAACATAAATGTCAAATTTCATCTAAATTGATAAGTTGAAGTGCAGTCTGAATGATAGAGTAACTGGAATCAGAAATAAATAAGAACTTAACACGAAAAATATGTCTAGAAAAATAACGTTTAGAGAAAGTGCATACATATAATAAATAATAATTATTATTATTGGGTATTGGGTAAATCATTAATAAAGAAACTAAAAATACTTAGAATGTGTATAAGGCTATAAATCATAAACTAGATAAAAACTCGTATGTAAGTTGTATATATCATAGCTACTACTACAAATTATACTGTATAGAAAACCTAATATACATGTTCTGAGCTTATAAAAAGCTTTTTTACCACTCACAAACGCCAAAAGTTACTTAGCTATAGGGTAAACAATATTCTATCATACCCGACACTTGTTGCTGCTGAGATGCCTCTGAAGCGCACTCGACCCTAGGCTAAGGCGAGAGCGAGCTCGCGCTTCATTCATGAGAAACTATCATTGAATAGAAATAGCTAAATTAAGATGCTAATTCTGAACACATGTGCACAAACATATGTATGTATAAATATATACATACGTATAAATATATATGTATACTCGTGTGTATGTCTTGATTGTACTTAAGAGAGCTGCTGAAATGACATCGTGCAATTTCATCAGCCATGCCGAATTTTGGCGACAACAAAATAAACACATTTCGTATGTCTATGGCGTGGCTACGAGGGGTTAGCCTAAACGCATCCTACCTGTAGGTGCGACGCACGACGCAATTTTCCTTAGCTACTGCGCAGGTACAAACAAACTGAGAAACTCGACAAACTCGTTGAGCCACAAGGGTTGATAAGACGAACGAGAGAACGAATTATGCTCGCAATAAGTAAAAAGGAGAGTACGTGATATTCTTACATTGGAGAGAAGGAGAGGGCACGATAATCTGTCGTAGGCCCACACCCGCACGTAAGGCTGTTTTTTGTCAGTTATGCTGGGGTCTACGTGCGGGATGACACGGCAAGTTTTGTCGTTCTCATTCTATGTAATGCGTTTATCGTCCGAAGTTTTCGGGGTCAACTTTCAGGCACAGATATGTACGGTTGGATAGAACTGTCCCGTAAAGAGCAACGAATGAGGTTAATTTCATAGGTGCAGAAAACAGGGGGCCAAAAAAAATGGATTTTCAAAATTTTCCCCATCTATGTTTAGAACGAGGTCAGCTAGGAAAGTGAGTGCGTGCTCTGCCACAGATATGTCCGATGAGAACATAAATAAAAGCACGTGGATTAAGCATTAACCTTGTGAATGATCGTGGGTGGCGAATGTGGCCCACATTAATAGCCGAGGTCCTACACGTGGCGCCATTACATGATCTCTCCCTACCTATGGCTAATGGCCAAAATGGCAAACTACGTCGAATTCATTGGCATTGCTTGCGTCTAAAAATGTCGTCAATGGCGCCCCCGCAAGCTTTTATCGTTGTTGTTGTTGTTATTGTTAATATTGTTTTTCGCCGGCTCGTGCCTCCGAATTTAATTGTTATATTACCTTTAATACGTCAGCCAATTATACCGGCAACGTGTCTTTATGCAAAGCAGTTACGTATGCATTTTCATGCTCTCTTTTAACGTGAGTCATGGCGCCACTATCGATATTGACTATGTAGTTTAAAGACGAGTTTTTTCTTATTTATGCGTTTTGTCTCCACATTTCTACATACATACATACATATGTACATAACTCTTGACCAATAAATACACATAAACAAACAGTAATGTAAGCAGATTAGAACCGGTCAGCACACCTCCGTTCGATCAAGGCTGCTTAACCGAATCGAAAGGTCTGGTATGAATTGGCAAGATATGTATGTATGTATATAAAAAAAAAAACAATAACAACTGAACGGTATATGCAAAAGAATAACAACAACCACATGGGACTTGTACTACGCAGAAATTTTGTAGAAAACAAAACGGGCAAAAAACAAAAGCAGAAGCAGAAGCAGAAGCAAATATCAGCAGACGGCTGGCTATCCCGTAGTGAGAGTGCGAGAAGAGAGCAGAAGCAAAGAGAGAGCGCACAACGTGCACTGTGTATGTGTGTAAGTGGGAGCGAGTGTGTGCGTTTGTTTTGTTTGCGCGCTAACTGAGTGGAAAGAGGAAGCGCCAGCAGTATAAATACAGCGCCCATTGCCGTTTGGTGTCAATTGGACTCGCAAAGCGAACCCAACACGTAGTACGTAGCGCATAGAGTGAAAGACAAAGGAACAGCTGTAAAGCTACAACGCAATTTCGTGTAAACAAACAAAAGTCGTTCGATTACGATTAACAAGTGCAACTGTTATAGAATAACGGAAAGTTTTTAACCAATAAAAAAAATGTCTGCATCACCTACTGCTCGTCAAGCCATATCTCATGCGCTGCCCATGGCCATGACAAAGACCAAGAAGGTCATCATATCAGATCCCATCCAGATGCCCGAGGTCTACTCATCTACGCCCGGTGGCACCCTGTACTCCACTACACCTGGCGGTAAGTTGATGAAATATTTCGGTTTCTGTGAATCACCTGAAGAATTGTGATAAGAGAGTATCACCCTCGGTCCGATCACTCGCACATGTCCGTGACTCATGAGAACTTCTGTGAGCTCGTGCTGCTGTCTTATCGCCTGTCTGATGCAAGTCTCGTTTGAATGTCGCATAATGGCTCACTTTTTACTTTGTTTATTGCAGGCACTAAGCTGATCTATGAACGTGCTTTCATGAAGAATCTGCGTGGCTCTCCTCTAAGTCAAACTCCGCCCAGCAACATCCCCAGCTGCCTGATGCGCGGCACTCCTCGCACTCCCTTCCGCAAGTGTGTGCCCGTGCCCACAGACCTGGTCAAGAAAACTCAATCGTTGAAAATTGAGGATCAAGAACAGTTCCAGCTGGACCTGTAAATTGTCTCCACCTGATTCCAAGCAGCAACTGCCAAATTTCATGTTTCTATCCGTTAGCCACATTCACCTAGCTCGTATTACCTCACTAGATCCATGATCTGCTATAGTGTTAGCTCTCATCACTTATATCTAAGTTCTTCGTTTAATTCTCAGTCATATTGATTGAATTTGTTTATGTAATATATCTAATAGCTTTAGTCACTAAGCAATATAAAGAATAAACATTTTAAATTATTGAAATCAATGAATTATTTATATTTCTTTTATCAGTTGGTGAAACCTTGGGGCACTTGGCTCATAAGTTGACTAATCAAGTTATCTATAAGCCACTTGAGTACTTCTTATTTCACCTTGATGTTAATATACCAGCGCTTTGTGCATATACATATGTATGTACATGTATTCAACTCTTTCTGCATATATATTGAATATATGTATATATATCACATTTTATTGGGGGGTTTATTGAACTTTCTTTCGATATTACCGGCCGGCATAAGATGTAGAGAAACTACTGCGCAGTTTTTAGCCAGTTTCTCGGATCCAGTCACATGTGACCAAAATGCATAAAAACAGACGATGACAACATGTTTGGAGGAAATGTCAAATGACGATCTATATATAATCTTTCGATCTTCCAGAGTATATATCTGATCATATATGTATCTGACTGAAATCAATTCAGTTTATATAGTAGTTTTTAGTAATGAAATATAAAATTCTGAAATACATACATATATGAGAATTCAAAATAAATAGATCAGTTGCATATGCACATTTCCGCCTGCAGATGGCGTGAGTCGACGGATGTAGACAGGCGAGTGGTGCGTGCTACATGCCACAAGTCTTATCTGATATCTATTAAAAATCTAAATTTACATGCTAGATAACATGTTAAAGTAATTTCTTCAGAATATCTAAAATGTAATAAAACCTGGCGAGGCTAGAAATACAGATCTGCAATTGCATCAATATATATGTAGTATATATGTCGAACAGATCAATTTCAATATGTTGTATATAAGGAGATATGTACATAAATATATATCATGGCAACTTATGTACATATGTATATACATACATATGTATATATATATATATATACATATATATATATACATATATGTATATACATATTATCTTCTAATAAAGTTGTTTAACCATTTCGTTAATTCAATTATAGGATCTATAAAATATTTTGCACCTAATTATATATGTATGTAGATTTGTATATGTATAGTATTAGCATATCTACCTTCGCGAATTTTCGAAGAGCTATATAAACTATAAAATATTAGTTAAGATATTAAAAAAGTTGTTCCAATATGAGGACATAAGTGCAAGCATACATACATATATGTACATATGTACATACATATATAGGAATGCATTTATGTATATAGGATATTCTTAAATTTCTCGTCATATTTCAACTTCATAAAGGATTTTAATGGCTATGATAATCACCTACAAATAATTAATAGCTTCAGCTTTCGCAATTTGTTTGTCTGTAAAACAATTAAGCCAACCTCATTCAATTTGCTAAACAGCCTAATTAAAACCCAATACAAGAGCAGCATTTAAATTATTATGCAAGAAATTGTAAACAAAAGGCCAACAACAACGGCTAATGGCTAACATAACAGTAAACAGCAAAGAATGTGTAAACAAAGTTTCTCATAGATAAAGACTATTCGCGAGAAGCCTAAGCACCTAATCAAGATATGTTTTCAAACGTCCTTTGAAAAACAGACCACAAAATTAAGCACTTCTGTTGTACAAAACAAGCAAAAACAACAAAATATGTATTTCTAACTAAATTCATTCAACACGCGCTAGCACGCTTGAGCAACTAGAACACAGCTATACAGAAAGAGCAAGCAGAGCGAGGCAGCCACAATGAGAGAGCGTAAGCGTACGAGAGTAGAAAGAGCAGCAAGAGAGAGCGGTGAGCGCTCGCGCAATGACGTTTAATGGAACGTGTGTTTGCCGCGGTTCCTTTGCTTTGTTTACGTGCGGTACGATTGAAAGGCGAGCGAAGAGCGCACAGTGTAAATAGCGGCCCACATTGAAGTCTGCTGTCAATTGGACTCGCAAAGCGAAGTAAGAACGTTGGAGAAAGGGATAGCAACAGCTAGAAAGCTGAAACGCAATTTCGTGTAAGCAAACAAAAGTCGTTCGATTACGATTTACAGCCGTTATTCTTACAAACTAAGCGTTTGAAAAACAACAACATAAAGATGTCCGCATCACCTACTGCTCGTCAAGCAATTTCTCATGCGGAGCCTATGGCCATGACAAAGACCAAGAAGGTCATCATATCAGATCCCATCCAGATGCCCGAGGTCTACTCATCTACGCCCGGTGGCACCCTGTACTCCACTACACCTGGCGGTAAGTTGATGAAATATTTCGGTTTCTGTGAATCAGCTGAAGAATTGTGATAAGAGAGTATCACCCTCGCTCTGATCAGTCAGCACACGTCCGTGACTCATTAGAATTTAATGAGTCTTATCACCTGTACGGGACGAGTCTGATGCAAGTCTCTTTTGAATGTCGTCTAATCATAGTTCACTTTGGTCGTTTTTCCTTGCAGGCACTAAACTTATCTATGAACGTGCTTTCATGAAGAATCTGCGTAGCTCTCCTCTGAGTCAAACTCCGCCCAGCAACATCCCCAGCTGCCTGATGCGCGGCACACCTCGCACTCCCTTCCGCAAGTGTGTACCTATACCATCCGACTTGGTCAAGAAAACTCAATCGCTGAAAATTGAGGAACAAGAACAGTTCCAACTGGAATTGTAAATGGAGTCTACTAACCCTATTCCAAGTAACAACTGCCAAAACTCATTATTAGTTAACTACCCTTAGACCCTACCTTTACCAACAAATTAATACTGATATTTAATTCCCACTCAACTGTTTGTTTAGATATGCATACATAAGTTGTTTGTTATTTTGTAAGTCACATTGACTAAATATTTATAGTTCTAGTTGCTAAGAATCAAATGCAATAAACATTAAATAATAATGTAAAATTAAACGATTGACTTTGACTATTTTATCAGTTGTTGAACCTTGAAAGGATTTTCAATTATCAACTCCGTCAATGATAAGAAATGTTTGTTGCGAATTTTTGCGATTTACCTTGAGATATTGTTTGTTAATTTATTATTTGGGGTTTGTTGAACTGCTGCTGGAAATACCAAATGCCGGCCGGCACATGTTGGCGAAGGCGCCGCCTATTATTTAAACTGTAAACAAAAACAATAACAAGAAGCACGAACAACAAGTTTAGCTGCCCCTCTCAAACTATGCGCGTGGCAGGGGCTCATAACCCACATTCTGTCTATGCCAGCAGACTTAGGCGCACACAAACATACATATATATACACACACACAAACACACACACACACACACACACATGTTTAAGCAACCAGCAGCCCGGCAAAAAATAGATTTTTAAACAACTGCGCAGTTAGCGCAATTCGCCCCCTCAGCATTCGCCGCAGCACGCATTTTGTTGTTGGCGGCGAGGCGCTTGGGATTTAAAGAACACAAACCAACGCCTCGTGTATTGCGCATAAAATTTTATTCAAACAAAGTGATATCAACTATTTGCTTAACAATGAGCACATGCATATGTATAAGCTCATAAATAACCACAAGCATATGTACATATGTATGTACATGCGTGTATGTGTGTACTCTATGTTTGCTGCAAACATTTGGCATGCGGTACATGTTTTTGCTGTTTGCTTGCTTTGACTGTGCAGCCCTGGCTATTGAGCGGGATTTAACTCGTGGCATACTTTTAAGCGCGATATTTTATTTTACATGTTGGACATTGTAATTCTTTGTTAGTCATAAGATATTTATAAAAATAATTTATTTAACACGCGCTTATATTACTTTTTCCTACTTGAAGGTACTAGTTTCCGTGTCAATCAGACTTTCAAAGCTCAACTACTGCGTATAAAATTATAGATATGCACATGTACGTTTTATATAAATACATACTTATATACATAAATGAATATATGTATGTATGTACATGTGCGTAAAAATAAATTAAGTGTATATATGAGTGCTAGTGTACTAGTATACATGCATACATCGCATAAATCATAAAGCTATTCGAATTAAATTTTTATGCTCTACATTTTCATATCAGAGTTTTATTGGGGAAATTTAATTACTGTTGACTTTTCATCAGCGCGAATTTAGTGGGATTAGTAGAATTTATGACAATTCTAGTTGAGGAATTTTGTGGTTAATTGGTTGATACAAATAGGCATACAAATAAAAGCATAAACAATGGACAATAAGAGGTACTAAAGGGAATTTACCAGAGCTTGTAGGACACTTGATGTTATTACATTAAAAACTAAAAGTCGTTAAGTTCATGAGCTAAATTGTTTCTTAAAATAAATTGAAAGTTAATCAACTGCGCGAATAAAGAATCGAAAATAATAGCCTTATGAATTTATAAATAAAACCCTAAAACTATTTGGTACATGAGCTAGGAAATTCTTGTGTAAATATCCTCGCAACCAAATATGATACTTGTACATTTAATGTCCACTCATACCCGGAAAATTTAGTACGTAAATATACTAAAAACTAAATGGCGCTTAGTTTGAATACAAATTTTCGTACACTCGCCAAAATTTACGGCTTTCAGCTAATGAAATGCGCAACCATACAAATTGTAATTAAATCAAACGATAAATTACATCTTTATTGCACAATAGCTCATATTCCTTTTTACTTTTCTGTATACAAATAAACTTACGCAAGTCCAAGGTTCCAGCGGGCAGTGAAATCGACGCCGTCCCAATGGTTTTATCACGGACATTCCTTTAGACTTATAATTATTATTATATTTTTGATGTTGGACCACGTCATATCATGAGCTGATCTCGTGCGCCCGTTTGCTGCCAAACCAAACCGCCGCCATTCGCCATTCGCTGGGTGGAGCGAGCCGCGTGATTTCCACTGTATTCCCTGACTTTGGGTCGCGTTTCAACCAGCTCAGCAGAAAAGCGTTCGCGGCGAACGCTTCCATTGAAAGCAGACACCCAACCAAAAGTAAATTCAACTGTTCTTTTTGTTTTCTTCAACATCATCATCAATATAATATATATGTACATATATATGCATATACATCTATATATATATATATTGTTTTTCTTTTACTTTTTTCATTTTATTTTCACTTTTTGTTATTTACGAACATTGTTTTTCTTGTTGTTTGCTTTTTAGACACAAAATACAAATAGATACAAATATTTTTAATTTTTCTCAGTTTTTCTTTCAATTTTTTAAAATCTACTACAAAAAAACATTTTTTGTTTTTTGAACCAATTTGTGGCAGGTTAGCGCTTAAGAACTACAACATATAGCATATACACACATATCTAACTATATATATATATTTTATATATATATATTTCATATAAAAAATATAACAAATTTGTAATTTGTTATCATATATCGATCGTCATATATATATTTAGTTTTGTTTTGTTTCTCATTCATTGAAGTATGGCTGAAAAAAATTCATTAACAAAACTCAAAAAATCTGCAACTTTTGTGGTTTCTTCGCATTTTTTTTTTTTCTCTTTTACACACTAAATGTTTAAAACTTATAAAATACTACAAAACGTACGAGATCCAACGAAATCTCATAGCAAATAGAAAATAAAAAAATATGTTTATATATATAACTAATTAGTTGATATATATAAAGTATAAACACGTGAAATTATAGATATTACAAGTTAAATATTTATATATATATATATTATTTTAAGATTTACATTTACATTACAGAAATTATAAAAAAAAAAAACATTGAGTGTTGTTGTTGTTTGTGTGTTGGTGCATAAAAAGGGAAATATTTAGCGAATTCTGTTTGCCCTTTGCATACTCTTTATACATTGTTCCATAATTGTTATTATTATTATTTTCTTGTTGCTCTTTCAACAAACACAAATTGCACAAAACTTATCAAATATTAAATGTTAGTTTTTTGTTAGGCCTTTTCGTAGAAGAGCATATAAAAAACCGCTTAGCAGGTGGGCATATATAATTGGTTTAATTTATCAACTTAACTGAACTGAAGCTTCTTTTGTTTATTGCATATTGCAGCAGATTCCATATATGTATATATATATAAATATATATATATATTTTTTTTTGTTGATTTTTTTTTTGTCTTTTTTTATAGAGCATAAATTTTTAACAAATGTAAAAAATTTCATTTTTGCTTTTTCCTCTTTTTTTTTTGCTTTGTTTCGTTTCGCCAATTGCACTTTTGTTGCTGTTGCTGTTGCTGTGTGTGTGTGTGTGTGTGTGTGTGTGTGTGTGTATGTGTAATTGCTGTTGCTTTTAAGGTATTTAGAAACACTAAACTTAATATTGTAAAAAAAAATAGAAACAAACAAATATTATTATAGAACTACAGCTGATCACTGATCGCGCATAAACGTACGTATTTCGTAAATTGTACTTAAAAACTAATTGAAAATCATTGAAGACTCTTTTTAACAACAAATAATTTGGTGGTCGAATTGTTTTCGTTTTACCGGCTGTATTATCAAAATGCAGCTCAAAACAATTCTAACAATTTTCAAAGTGAAGCTACATATATATATATATATATACATACATACAGTATATATATGTTGTTTATTTACAAAGAACTTGTATTTAAAGTTGATTTTTTTAACTGTTCAAATTGGCATTTATGACTCGATAACGCGCAGCGTGCGAGCTAAAAACCAATATATATATATATATGTATATATTGATAAATATACATATGTATATAATTATAGCTTCTTAATTTAAAGTTATATATATATATATATATATGTATATATATTGTGGCTTACGTACCAACAAAACTCACATAGCAATTGGCTTGACCTTTTTAACTTCTTTTTCTTTTATCACTTGTAATCAAGCAAAATGCAAAAACAATGACAAAAATACGTACATAGTTTATACATATACATACGTATATATAGCATATAGTATATATATATATATACAGAGATATTTAAACATCAACATGAATCACCAAATTACTTGTTTTTTCGCTTTACAGTGTGAACGACACTTTTTCTTTAAATATTATATAGTTAAGAGAGATATACATATTTGGGGTAAAGGGGCGTTGCTGCAGGTCTGGATATCTATGAGAGTTACCTAGCCATTGGCCTGGACAGTGTGGGCATGTAGGTGTGTATGTCTGTGAAGGAGATTGGGTACTCGTATGTATGTATGTGTGTGTGCGTGTGTGTGTGAGAGAGAGAGATTGTGTGCGTGTTTGCCTATTGCGATGTACTAAAATTTGATGGCGATATGGAAGCTGGCGGTGTTTCCGTCTCAATACTAAATGAGGCATCGATTGAATCATGGCCACGATGTTCCCTGGATCTGGTTGTGGGTATTGGTGCGCTGCTTGCCGTCGCCTGTGGTGGCAGCGGTGGCGGCATCAGAGCCGCCTCTTGGGCCAAGCGCTCCTGCTCCTGCTCGAGCTCCAGCTCCTCCTGCAGCTGCTCCAACAACTGCTGCTTGTTCTGCAGCCAATATCGCACGGGTATGCGCAACACAGTGGTCAGCTTGTCATTGTGCTCCTCCAGCGAGTTGGTGGCATAGTGCTCGACCAGCTTCTTTAGCGTGGGATAGATGTTGTAGGGCGCCGCAAAGCCCAGCCCGCTCTCCGTCTCATAGATAATACAGTGATGTATAACCGATTTGCAGACTATGGATAGGGCATAGTGGCCCGCGTCTCGGGCTCGTATCAGGAATGTGCCCGTGGGCGCTCCACTGAGCATCTCCTCGGCATCCTGTCGCTTGGCTTCCTTGATCAGCCACAGTGACTCGTTGCGATGCGGCTGATTCGAGGCCTTCTCATAGTTCTGCTGCAGCTCGTCGAAGCCCTTCTCCAATATAACATTCAAATCGTCGTCGGTTAGACCAAAACCTTTCAGGCGCCTGTAATATTGAAATAACGACATAATCTTTAGCAACGAATTAACCAACGAGACCAACTGTCTACTTCAGTATAAATCAATTTGCCAGAAGAAGCGGTATTATATTTGAGTTATGTACACACAAATATAAAAGATATATATTATATTGATTCTTATCAGAAAGTGCTCGTATGATGTCATCAGTCAGTCTCTGCCCATAATACATACATAAATTGTATTAAACAATAAGACAAAGCCAGCTCACATTGCCTAATGGACATTGGCCTTATCGTGTACATGTTCATACATATTATAGATACATAAACCTATAACTGGCGAAAGTTGTGCGCGATCGACTTAATGATTAGCAATACAAAGTGAATGCGTCGTTTAGATTTAGTCTTATTATGAAATACCTTGAGCATATGCAGAGCCTATATAAACAATATCAATAATAGGTATTACCTCTAAGCTAGTTACAAATAGGTATTTGTATTAGTACAGTACAGTAAATATCCCATTTCTTCAAATTTCATGTAAATATCCCGAGATTCCCCAGATTCTTAACTAAGATGTAAATCCGGTACATTTCTCATACTTTTAGATTCCCGTTTTAATTAACTAAGAAAATATATATTAAAAGGACTTTTTAATGGAAATGTAAAAAAAAGACGATTTTAAATAAAAATTTGCACATATACCACTTTCTGACTATGGGAAGTCAATCACCTGACTAATCAGCTAGCCGATTGTGAAACCGTGACCATTGCAATCTTATGCAACAATAAATAAAAAATAAGGGTCGCGAAACTCAAATGGGAATATTTAGCTAATTGATAGCTAATAGATTTATATTTTTATTTCCCTTTAATATTAATATGAAAATGCAACTTCGGCATACTCTAGATTACATACAGTTAGTATAATCATATCATAGAATTATATATTCATATATATATATTTTCCTATTTTTACTGTTATCTTCAATTTCATATCCGGTTTTGCAGTAAATTTGTATACGATTTTTGATTATGAAACACTCGTACTCTCATCATATTTTCTACAAATAAATATATATACATAGTATAGGTAAGATTATTAACTGTTCTAGCGGAAATATGGCTAATTTCTGATAATTCTTCTATAGCAACAGCTATTATGTCTTTGCTTGTGGTTTTCATATTTTGGTGCCTAGTATGCTTCACTAATAATATCGTAGTGAATATGCTTTTCATATTTTGTTGCTTGGTTGCTTAAAGAACAACAAACTAAAAATAAAAGTTTGTTCACAAAATTAGAATACTTTATAAATAAGATTTGCTAAAAGTGAACAAACATGTCAGAACTATTTTATTTTAAAAGGATCACCCAAACTTTTCGACGACCTTCCCAAATGTCTCTTATCTGGTCTTAGTGCCCGCTGTGATGATAGCGAATTGTTGTTTGTCATCTCAGCGAATGACCTACGCCTCTGTACAGGGAATTGTGACGCGAATGAAATGAAGAATTTCGAATTCCAGAGAGAGACAGAAAGAGAGAGAGAGAGAGAGAGAGTGGCCCTCGTAGAATAATACTTTCGGTATATCATAGAATATAGAGAACAAGGCAAACTACATGCTTACTCGCATGTATGCCAGTTCAGAGATTTCGCTTCTCTCTAATCTAAATCAAAATAGAGACATTCAACAAAGTAAAGGTTTGCGAATATACAAATATTATATATGTACATATATATATATATATATGTGTGTACATATATAAGCTAGGGGAAAAAGCGAAAGAGAACAACAACATTTTTAAGTATTTGGCAAACAAAAAATGCTGGTCAGCGGAAGATAACGTTATAGTGCCTTATCTGCTACAATGCGCAACAAGCCAATAGAGACAGACAACTAGAGGGGCATATACACATACATATACATATACACACAGAGTCGAATTATAGACGAACTATAGCCGCCTTTCCGCAACAATTAGCACTGACAAAAGCCTTCAGAGAGAGAGAGTGAGAAATCATATATTTAGTTGCTAAGCGCTTTGTTCCTTCAGATAAGTAGTACGATATATGAACCCTAGTTACTGGACTACAAAAACACATTCAAGAAAAGCTTGTAAGACTCGTCTATAGAAGATAAGACACAGATGCATAGGTAGTACGGGAAAAAATTGTTCAGTTCACATAAAAGATAAAGTATGAACAGAGAAATAAAATCTATTATCTTCGGAAATAAGTACAATATAAAGATAAATCTATATATAAATATTTATGGAAACACATTGACATAATAAAAGATTTACGACCTTTTATAATGAGGCATAAAAGACATGACGAAATTTTAGGATTCTTTTTGTGTGATATGTGAATAGATATTTCGTATTGCCAACATCTAGAAGTTTGTGTAAATTAGGATATATTATTATTGAACGATTGCTCCTGTCTCATCTATTCGATATGTGCAGTGTTCCAAATGTTCTCGTAGAATATAATACAATTTAATGGATTTAATTTAAAGCATGAACGTAACTAATCCCTAAGACAAAGTTTCTATAAGCTATACCTAGTTGGAATTTGCCAATCAAATAGTCTAAATGCTAGCTAACGTCGTTTCTCTTTTCTGATTGGGAATATGTACATAAATACGACTTTCATATAAAAATATAGGAAATCTATTAATATCTAGGGATCAGTTGACTAAGCTGACTCTTCTGATTGTATTTGTATATATGCTTGTATATATCTATAAACCCCCCGGCAAGATTTTCTTTTCATTTAGCAGTAAATGTATAATTCCGAAGCAGATAAGGAACAGATGTGTCGTAAGACTGATAAAACGTAAGCTTAGTGGGTATTTTTGGTTCTACAAAAAAGAAAAAATATAATAAAATAAAAAAAAAAAAGATTTAATCTACGCGTTGATAAAAGCGTAGACAACCTGTTGCTAAAATATATATATATATATGTGGAGTTGAGTCAAAGTTCTAATATGGTTCAAGGTTTCAATAATTACCGTTATCATCATTATCATCAACGTCATAATAAGCATTATCATTACTGTCATCGATGACGAATCCGAAGTTTGATTAGCACAACGAATGACATAAGTTTAACGTAAAGCTTATGATTAAGCTAGAGCTGAGCTTTACGGCAGACTTTCAGATGTGATTGATATAGCTTACTATACTATACTATACATATAGATAGACTCACAATAGATTACTGCATGGGCGATATAACATATTTCTGTCTCTCTAATGAGAATTAAATTACTTGGCGTATAACATAAACATTTTTTCATAGAAGTATTGTAATACTTTCAACGGAAAGATTTGCAGAATTATTTGATATGATTTGTATATATATATAAAACATAATATATATTTATATATACATGCATATAGATATAGCTATATGCTAAACTCCAGAAAGTCTGCCAAATACGAGCACTATATATACATTTATATAATTGTCCCAATATTTACCTGTTCATATAGATATACAAACTATGCGTTAAATGCTTAAATCATTCTATCAAGAATGTTTACGATAAAAATAGAAAATATTTTCTATTTTAATATCTGTTTCGGGATATTGAAGTACAGCAAACATATTCCAAAACTATTTTCTATGATTCTATATAATAAGTGCTTTGATAAAATGGTATCAAACATGTGCAAAAATGGTAATATACGATAAACAGGGAAGACTGTCCAAAAGTTATTCAATGAAGCTTTCACTTTCACATATTCATGTATCGAATCCGTCTCTAGAATACAATTTGTCATATAACGAATTTATACAACGCAGTCTATTAGAGAATAGTGTTTTTTTCTGATATACTCAAAACTGTTAACGATAAAGGAATTCTTTGTTTCAAAGAGTAAATCCTTATCTTAGGATAAACATAAATCAGAGTTCTACCATCGTACACTTCTATTTTGAATACCGAGTGTCTATCGTTTATCATATATATCGTATTTAGACAATGCATTCATTGTCTTGTTACCTGCCTCAATTGCTTGGGCAAGCAGCTTATCGAGCATTGTCATTGGCTTTATGGACGAGCATTTCTTGCAGGGGGCAGGCCAACAGGACGGAGTGCTTGGGGGCGATAACAAATGCTCGATGTATACTATATAGCGTATTATATATTGCATACGGGTAGCACGTAGCCCAGTCAGCGTGGCGAATTTGCAAGCCGAAACCAGACGAGCGCCGAGTTAAATTTTCTATTATTATCGGTCAAAAACGGCAGGGCAGGGCAAGGCAGGGCAAAGGCAAAGGAAACGGCAAAACTCAAAGTCAAATGCAGCTCCAAACAGAACAGCTGAAGAAGAAGAAGGCAGTAAAATGGCCAACAACAAGCGAGCCGCGTGAAAAATGAGCCAGAACCCAGAGGCATTAAAATTCCTTGTCTGGCATAAAATGCATTGGACAAATATAATATAGAAATATATATATATATATATATATATATATATATATATATATATATATA